ACATGCAATTCGGTGCATGACACCAGTAACAATAAGTCAAAAACTGGCACACAGTGATATGGGCAGATATTTCCCTTTCTTACATTCTCAAATACACCCAAATACGAAAACAAACTAAATACAACATAAAAAAAAACAAGAAAACAAACTATTCTTTCACTGAAGGATTTCTTAACAATAAAAAATGTATCATGTCTGAACTGATTTCTCTGAACTCCATGAAAACCCAGGTACAGCTCTTTATCAATGAACCCTTTAATTACAGCTTCATCTAACATTTCCCTGCACAACATTTACTCAGATTAAAAACAAAACAATAACAAAGACCCACACTTCCTTAAGAAACCAATCAATAGTCTAGAGAGGAGTTATTAGAGGGCGCGCTCAGCAGTTTAGCCACGGTTGCACATTAAGATTCTCTGGACTCTCCAGCAGGAAGCAATGCGCCTTACAGGAGAGTAAAGCAACACAGATAAACAATCAGATGTAAGAGGAATTTAAACATATTAGGAGAGGAAAAGTTTGCTGTAATGCTATGCAAATGTCTTGGGCCATTCCTCTTTTTTTATATGTTGCTTCTTGGATCACTACACACACTTTGCAAATATCCGTAGTTTAGAGCAAGACATCTTAAGGATTTCTAACTTTTGAAAATTTCCAAATCAACTAGTTTGACACGAATAAAGAATATTGTAGTACAAACAAACTGATTTCCAAAGTTTTATAAATTAAAAACATGATTTTTAATTGAGTCCTTTGGGTTTGGATCTTAGGATAAATCAATTTTATACAATATAAATATTATTTTATTAAGAAGTCCTCCTGAAAGAAATTGATAAGGTACTAGGTTAAAGCACCCCCAAGAACAAAACTGATATTATATTTTAGTTACGTAAAGGGAGCTGAGATTCAAAAGAGAGGTCTTTACTTATTAAAAATTTTGTTGGCAGCAGCAAAAAAGGCCATCACATGCAAATGTTCCAAACAAGAATCCCCTACAGTCAAAAAGTGGATGGACATCATAGAAGAAATTCACAGCATGGAAAGACTCACTTTTATAATAAGGTTGCAACAAGCAAAATATAAAGATCTTTGGAAAAAAATGGACAATGTATATTAATGATTACTGACCAATTGTTCTTTGTAAATTGTTCTCTTTTATATTATTTGTTCCTTTTAAATATAATAAAATACAAGTTAAAAAAAGTCCTCCTGCACTTGGTTCTGTAACTTCAAGGAATACACAGAACAAAAAGATCAAGTTTCCATGAAGGGTTAAATATTTTTGTCTCTGTGTAAATACTTCACATAAATCACTTAGAGAGAACTTTTTATTTGTCTAAAAGGTTGAAGCCTGTCTAATGTTCAGCACTGATATGTCTAAGTTAAGGTGCTAGAAACCACAAATAACACAAAGGCAAACAAAAGATTCCAGCACACTTGTATCTGTGCAAGAAGTGAAATCTTATGTAGATACTGTACAAGTTCGAGCATTTGTCAGTTGTCTAAAAAGAAAAGTTAAATATCACAATCGAAAGGAGCCCCTGCACAAAACGATTCAAAAGTGCACGATTTTCAGTGCTGGCATTTTATGTTAAAAGTAAAGTTTTACATGAGTGTTAGTTCCTCCAAAGGGCCGGAGTTAATTAATGGAGTTAAATTCAAACAACTCTGTTAAATGCTGATTTAAATATCAACACTTAACAGATTTTCTATTGTCTACCATAATGCATGCATTGACAACACTGGCAAACATCAGAGCTGTTGCATGGGATGCAGAAGTTGATCCTGCAACTGCAGGTGGCCAGTTAGAATTTCTCTTGATATGAAACAGCCAGCACTGCCGGCTGATGATGTTCAGACGGCATGATGAATCCTGTGTACAGCAGCCTTGCTTCTGTTAGTGGTACCGCAGAGCAGCTTCAATGTAGCTTAAACTAGTTTGTAGTGTCAAACTTAACTTTACCTTTAACACTTTACACTAGAGCTAAATAAATTAAACCCTAAAAATATTAAATCACCTCTAATAAGAGTGTTGTTCCAACTCCAGTCACAGTGTTGACTGTTGTAATTTAATCTAGTGTTGAAAAATATATTCCACCTTAAAAGTGTTTCGTTTAACTTCTTAAGAATTGAATCATCACTTCTAAATTAGCTGTGAATAGTGCTGTTGGCTTCATTCTTTGGAACAAATAACTATCCAGCTCCTTTTCATCTTGTACCACTAAAGTCATAGGTCAACTCAGACACTCAGCTCTGTAAACCAGAGACAGCTGATATGCATTTTATAACACATGAAGGATGCGCCATACTGCAGCTGTGGAACCCACCTTCTTCTTTTGTAAATGTAATTGCAATTTGTCTCATTTGGGGACAAATAAAGTGATTGATTGATCTGTTTTATCTTCGATTTGGATTTCTTGCTTCCTTTACATTCCAGACAAAGCGTTCTTTATTTAAACAAGCAATATATTTCTCTTCATGTCCTTTTTCATTTTTGTGTAGATTTTTCTTTCATTTTTATTTTTTAGTTCTACTAATAGTTTCATTGGGAACCCCTTTATGTTTTTACTTGTAAAAACCTACATAAATAAAGTACCTACTTATAGTAGGTACCTACTTATATAGTGACAGATCATTTAAACTCAGCACCTAATCCTTTTCTCTCAAAAAATGTCCAATGTATAGAAAATATGTAGATCATAGTAATACTGTGCACAATATCATAAATTGTGAGATTTTTAATCTAGTGTTTTGACTTAATATGGCAGTTCAGTGAGATGGCTGGAATCTCTCTGCAGTCCAGGTCCATTAAGCTAATTATGTTTTATTGTTTATGATATTTGCACACAGACTGATATTTTCACGCATGTACTCCTGTTAATTAATATGATTTTTAATTTACAACAGATAAATAATGCCATTATTTAAAATTAGAATATTATATTGAACAACTTAAAACAGTTGGACCTAATAAAAAAAATGTGGACCTAATTAAAAAAACATGTTTAAAACCTGCTAAAGATTGTTTTTATTGTTGTTTTTTTACATAGAGGATAGTGCATATGATGGTATAGGTCATAGGGGTAGTTTGTTAGAAGCCTTGAAAAGCCAGATCATCTGTTGGATATAGAGTTTAAGGTCTGACATTTCTTTATTCCTCTACCTGACCACATGGCTCATTTTATGCATAGGTTGTACTGTTAGGGCCAGGGACAAGAAATGGAAATAAAATGAAAAATAAATCAGCCAGAGTCATAAATAAACAAAGACCCACAGAAAACCAGATGGACCATTGACTGAAAACACTAAAATATTACAAGAAAGTCTGACTTTATGGAAGCAAAGTAAGGAAATATTTACCTGCCCTACATTCTAATATCTGTTGTATGTTTTGAATGACTGAGATGGTCAAACTTGAGGAGAGTGATAGGTGGCTAAGTGTGGTAGAGTGTGGTAGAGAGAGAAAAGAATCAATAACAACTGATTATTATAAATAATATTGTTATCTTAATATCCACCAGTAGCATCCATTTACAATAACATGGGAAAACTCAAGAATATGGTCTATGGTGGGTCTGCAATTTTTGGATGTGCTACCAAAAGAAGATATACAATGGATGGTCTGTTAAATAAACTATGTTTTTTTTTTTTCAAACAGACAGGTCCTGTAAAAGTAAAAAAATGTTTTAATGTAAGAAAAACAGCAGCTTTACCAATAATGAACATATTAACCTTCTTAATCTGTTACATCCCCTCCACTGCAGAACTCTGACACCGCTGCTCTGCCTTCCCTATCTAATAATGTGTCACTTTAAGATTATTTGACATGGTACTTTTGTTGTATCCTGAGGAAGTAAGACTTTTTCTCAGTTGGTTAAAGAAATAACAAAGAGTGCATAGCGTTATGAAGACTTTTTTTTATAGTAGCTATTCAACTCTAAAAAGTAATTACAGAATCTGTATCTTAGTCACAATGTGCTTTTGTACTGTATCATTTATACAAACTGTATTTCCCATCTATCCATTGCACGAAAAATTGTGGCTCAAGTAAACACAAATATTCTCTGACTTCTGGTTTTAAATGTTTCGGTTCTGAGGTTGATTATTACCTCTAAACTTTACCCTCTCATGTCGTGCTCTATTTAACAGGACAGCTCCAATATTAAATTACAGTATGCTGTGCGTAGTACTTCAAGTTGCTGCTTGATTTGCGAGGCAACGCATTGACAAGAAAGGGTGGAATGACTGTGGGTTATAATCTGGAACTTGGGTTCACTGGCAGATAATTCTGTACTGCTTTCAGTAGCAATCTGATCTCTAGAATTAAAACAACAGTTTTTGCCTATGGTCTTATTAAGTGTGTACAACGTTTTACATTTTAATTAATTTATCAAATCCTATTCTTAAATCTGCAGTCCCTTTTAAACAAAAAACAGCTGCATGGATCATATGTAATATGAATTTGATTGATTTTAGAGTTTAACACTGTACGACATATTTCACTAAGTTGAGTTATGGCCATAACAGCATCCATCTGTCAGAGTTAGCAATTTGTATAGCCTTTGAAAGCCACGGGGTAATCCTTCCTGGCTACTTTTGGTCAGTTCAGATTAGCTTCACTATAGAAAATGTGGTTAGGTACAATTTCCTCAAATGGGGGCTGATATACAGGGGCAAGCACTGAGCGAAAATTTATTTAGGTTTCACAATGAAGAAAAAAAAAGGTTTCCTGAGGCTCCTTTAGGTTAAACCGAATATAATATGTTTACAATTGCTTTCTCATTTAAAGATGAAGCTTCACTGATACATGACATTCCCTCTTCTGCTTAAGAAAGCCTTAAATATGGCATTAAATCCAAAAAAAGAGGACACTTGTGACATTACTGTGTCATTTTTTTGAACATAAAAGAAAACAAAGCAATTAAGTGAATAAATAAAATGCAGCTAGTAGACTCTGCATTTATTAAAACAGGGGTTGGAGGTCAGCACTTACTTACCCCACACTTGCTGAGAGCGATGTACCACCACCTCTCCCTCACTGAGCGGAAACTGCGACCACCCACGCAGCTCAGAACCTCCTCGTCGCCATCGTCCTCCACCTGGGAGAAGGAAAGAAATCAGATGGTGATCCGAAGAGGATCTTGTTATTCCAAACAGGGTGACACATTTCCGCCTCACGGGCACGTTGACTTGTCTCAGTAAAAGCCGAAGATTTCGAGATACAAGCACATTTCACACTCTGTTGGGACAAGATCCACAAAAGGCAGTCACACCTCTAATGTAATAAACAGCCAGGTTGCTGCAAAATATAATAATAATAATTAAAAAAAAAATTATGAGGCACAAAGCTCTATTGAGATCAACAATGCATATGTAAATCAGATAAATGTTATGAAAACACATTATGGACCATTAACTCTCACCTCCTTTCCATCTTCATCTCAGTTTATTATTTTCCTTTTTAACATGTTATTGTGTTGTTTTACATTTTGAAGAAGATTGAATAGAAAAGGTGAAAATGTGTCAAACTGTCTCCAAATAAAAAGATCAAAGGTCAATTATATTTATAAAACAAAGAAAAACTCTATTTTCCATTACATTCATTTTCAGCAGCATATAACAGAGTGTTATATTCTTACCACACATCCTGACCAGGTGTAGCGTGTGGTGAGATTGATGACCTGGTTGTTTTCAGGTCTCAGCACTGCTTCCTTCTCATAGCAGTTCTGTTATCAAAGCACACAGAAAACAAAACATTGTTATCCATGCACACAGAAAACAAAACATTGTTCTCCATCTATCTTCATTGTTATTAAGTTGCAATTCAATGAGGACAGCAGACAACAAACATGTTATTTTCCTTGAATTGTTATTTATTGTGACATCAAAGTTTTTCATATTATAATTGGGACTCAAGTGCAGTCCAACCAGAAGGTTAGGAGGATTAATCATAAGGGGAATTAACTTTGTGTTTGAAGGATTGCTGGGATGATGGACAGTTGATACAACAGTAATCAATCAGAAAAGTCAGAATTTATTTCAGATATTCTCCAATTCAGACTGAATTAAAATGATACATACAGGCTCTAACGTTTGCATACACTCCAACCAATACTTAGCAAGCTGCTGAGAAAATACATGTTTATTTAGCATTAACAAACTCCTGACAAAATAGTGTCAAGAACTGTATCCACAAAACTATTAACCACTGACAGTTCATTTAGATTGGTTTTCTTCCTGCTACCAAAACATATTTTAAACTCAGGCTTTAAATTTTCTGTTTATTTCAGTAGCATCAACTCAGGACTTCTTTTGCTTTGTTTATTCCAAACACATTTATGATGTGTGCCAACGGTTATTTTCCTGGTAAAACATGGAACAGTAAAGTTTTAACTCAAGACCTACACCTTTATTATTTCACCCACTTGTACCATCCATCATTGACGCTACACTAGGAATAAAACATAACTTCAGCAGGATGCTACACCAAATTGACACTTGGAACTGTTGTATTTGTTTTGAAAACCTTCAAATTGAGTTTCTGGGAAATAGCATGCTCAGTTATTTATTGCTTGTCTATGAACATCTTAGGCAATTTCCATTAATCTGAAGGTAATAGTTTGAGTCAGGCGGGCAAAAAAAATACATAGTACTAGACAACTCAAAACTGGTTTTTGTTTTTTTTATAAATAAAAGAAGGCTAATAAGCTTTTGAAATGTTCCTGTCCTCATTTCTGGTGTTGTTTTCCCAGTGGTTGCCATGAAACCAACCATTATATATTAAAGTCACCAATTCTGCCAAAAGAGGTGAAAATTACCTAGCAAGAGTGATAGTGGAAATCCACAAAACAAAAAAAATAAAGTTGTATATCCAAAATAGGTTTAGAAAATCATACATTTTTTGCTATATTATTCAAACCACCAAAATAAAAAAAGATAATTAAATCATCATCAGTCCAAGACCTATAAAACATCAATGCCAGAATTGTATAAATTTTGTAATTTAGTAGACAAGAGAAAAACGTGGTTAAGTCTTCTGAAAAAAAGAAAAAAAAAACACATTTTCACACAAGTTTGCCTTTGAGTGATAAATGTGTTTATATGTGAAATCTTAACATTTCTGCAAACTGTTCGGGTGAGTTACAAAAACCCGTGTTTGATCTTGCAAATCTGTGACCGGAATCTGACAGAGAGCTGAGAAGTGATGTGATCCCTGTAAGTGCACTAGAAATATCTAACGCACTGTCACATCTGTGTGTCAGAAGAGGTAAGGCAGGCGATTACAGCACAAACATTCAGCATGAGTTGCCAAATGAAAGCTATGCACGTCAATATCATTTCTTTTTTTTCTTAACATGATAATTCATTTCAGCATAGGTTTTTCTCAACATCTGAAGTTCAAATAGAATTTTGCATGAACAGAAAACGAAGCACACATTAAAATTTGGGTGTGAAGAGGGTATTAGTGTCTAGATATTATAAAGAATTAAATCATTAGTCACTGGAGTAAAGGTCTTGATTAAACCACATTTTATGATGCTCTATAGTAAAGGCATGGAAACATTATAAATGAAGCATCCCTCTCCTTCTGAAGGCAAAGTTTTAAACTTCAGATCTTAAACAGGCATTAAATTAAACCTCTAAGGCCATGCAATAACAACGTAAGATTGTTACTAATTTTGGTGTTGCAGAGCTTTTGAATGAAATAAGAACCATTGTATTAGCTTCTTTTATTTAAAGCATCCAGCTTGGGCTGGGTAAAGATAAGGTTAATTGATGGTAGCATTAGGAAATGAATACGTACTACAATTGGAAGTAAATGTATGAGAAACTAATGAGTTTTTTTCTCCCAAGAGCTTATTGGCCAACACTTTAAATTAGGACAAGAAACTCATTCGGGTTGAATCATCACCAGAAATAACATTTTTCTTCCTAAAAATGAATCATGCTGCCTTGTGGACATATGTTTAGTAAGCTGGGGTGAAGGCAAACTAAAAAAAATAACAGAGATTATATTTTTATGTTTCACAAACAATTCTGTGTCTTCCTAAAATGGCTGAACGGGGCAACAGCAGAAAGATTAAAGGGGTCAATACTAACCGTGGCCTTGTTTACTCTAAGGAACTGATACACTTTTCTCTTATAATAACATGTGCAGCTATTCGTTCAATATGTCTTTATAACCGTTTCTGCTAAAAGAATAATATGTGTAATGTGGGAAACTGAATTTCAGAACAGAAATGTTCAAACCATGAACTTGTTTTCTAATCCAGGAATGAGACTTTGTGGTGTTTTGAGGGAATCTTGATCAATCTCCCACAAAGGGACCTTTATCAATAGTTCTTAGTCAAATTTGATTGAGCCTGATTTTTCACAGGCAAGCTGTGCAGTCAGTGCACCAGACCATGTCTGAGAATTAAATAAGATGATTAGAGCAGACAAGCTGATCATCAACAACATCTGTTTATTTGAAAAGATAATAAATAAATTTAGCAAATCTGACAAAGAATCTGTGAATTGTATTCTCTGAGTAGACAGTCTACTGTATTGCTTTTTTCACCTCTTTAAGGATTACCAAGAGGCTGGAGTCTATATTAGGCATTTCAAACAGCTGTTGGTAATTTCACACTTCCACAACTTTGCTCGTTTCACATCAGACATTTTAGGTATGAAAAGGAGCCATCTGCCATGAGGGATAGTACTGACCATGTTGTGTTATACCTGCATTTGATAAGAGTTTAAAGAACTTTTCTGAAAGATACTTGCAGTTTTCTATAAGACCATGTGTTTAAATAACTTCAAACGGTAACGTATATTAGGAGAAGGTCACTACTTGATAGTGTGATTTGATTTGATATTTTTATCACTTAATATAAACTAACACCTTCTCAATCATGACTCATCACCACAATTAGGGGATTTTTTTTTAAGATGACTCATCTTAATCAATATAATTAACCACCAGGAAACGTAACATGGAATTACATATTTAAATATACAGTATGGGTACCACATTTAGAAAAGTCTGAGATCAATTGGCTGCAGGGTATTCTAATCTAGGTATGTTTAAAACTTGTTATTTGTATTCTCTAAAGAGCTAAATAAAGATGAACAAGCTGCAGCTTTATGTTAGCGCAGACATTTCTGGACTTAGTCAAAGAGAAAATAAAACAAATTTAAACTAAATAAATAATTCTCATCACTATTTGACAACAAAATATAAATAAATAAGGAAGGATCATTTGGTTGTTTAAATGCATGCTAAGAAAGACTTTTCCGCCATGGAGGAGAATCGTGGAAACTCTAAGACTGTTTAATAAACTTCTGCACTGTAAAAACGACAACTCAAAATTGTTCACCTTACTAAGATTTTTGCATTCACTGACAATAAAATTGCCAGTTGGAACTTGAACTGTCTGTTGTGAGCTAGTTGAACTCACTTTCATAAGTTTCTGATGAAAAGTTCATCTTATTCTATAAATTAAGTTGAGTTTACTTTGAAGTTGTAGTTGACACCCAGTCCGAGCGAGGTCAACTTATCTGCGCATGCTCATTTCAAATTTGTCATGGCAACCGGCTGCTATGGGATTTCCATGGATTTTCCCAGGAGCTCCCTTCTAAAGTTTGCATCAGCCATCTGGTCACTCTGCTGGCGGTAACCATTTTCAGCTGCAGATTTACACAATTGTGAATTCTTAGGCAGTGGTTGTGAATACTTAGACACTGGTTTCCTGTCATCTCTGGCAATATTGCATTATTTGTAAGGTTTTAACAGGAGTGGGAAAGTAAAAAAATATATGCTGAAACCTGATTTGCTTTAAGCATACGATTACTTGTTAACATTGCTTGTTTACATTGTGGAATTGTAAACCTGTTTTTGCCAAAGTGGTTCAAATAAACATACAAAATTTAACTGGTTTACTGTCGGTGGATGATTTAATGGGGGGGATTTAAACTCAAAAATGTAAGTTATTACAGGGGATGGTAATCTGAATTTAAAATAATTTTTTACAGATAATCTGAACTTAAAATAATATGTTTTTACAGACTTTAAAGTTCCAGTAACTTGAATTAAAAAAAAACTTAGTTGGCAGAACTTGAAAAACTTAGCTGACACAACTTGATAAATGTAGTTCTACAAAACTTAAAAAATTAAGTTGATGCCTTCAACTCAAAAATTCTGTGCAGTCGGTTGCCCTGAAATTTTGAGTTGAACTAACTTTTTTGTTTTTACAGTGTGTTAGAAATTGACTTATTATTTCTTCGAGCTGGATGAAAAATTTGTAGTCCTAAAGTCTAAGTTAAATTTTGAAAATTTTTGGAACAACTTCATTTCAATATATAATATGAATAATCAAATTCTGCCTTTTATTCCAGCCTCTAGTCTATCAGAAAGTCAAAGCCTCACCTTTTCTGTCTTCTTGTACACAGCTGGCCACTGAGAGCTGTCATCAAAGTAGAGCAGAATGTTCTGACAGCAGCGCGACTGCAAAGAGGGGAGACACAAACAGAAAGAGATCGCACTGGGGTGGTACATCCATCAGAGTGGACTCAGTGAGTTGATTTGACATGATTTGGTATGAAACTGGTTCTACAGGCTGCAAGCTAAAACATGCTCAGCATTGATAAAAAGTGGTTATTAAACTGGCTACTTCATTAAAAGGAAAACAAAGGCGATAAAAAAAAAACTAGCAGTAGATTGTAAATTAGGGAGATGGGGAAGTGGAAGAGGGTGTGAAGATGGTTCAACAATATGGTCATATCAATTAATATAATGAAGTGAGATATAATAAAAGAGAAAGGGGAAAGCTAATTGAGAGGAAGATGCTTCAGAATGAGAAAATGAGGCAAAGACAATTGTACTTGTTTGCTAGATGGTGTGGCAAACTGAGCTGTTGGCAGAGAACATATGACATTACAGCACGATTCAAAGAGAAGAAAATCGACTATCAAATAAAGGTAAAAAAAAGATTAGTTACAAAACATATATGTTAGAATTAATATAAAACACGAAAAACCTGTTTCATTTGGTATACTGTAAATATAGTTAAAGGCACATTTTGCAACCATGTTGCATCAGCTCATGATTTAACACCACTGAGAGCTTTTGACAACCAAAAGAAGCCTTGGCTATAATTAAAAAATGTATATTTTAAATGCTTCAATTATTTAGCAGTTCGAATCATTATACGTTTTGGAACATTTGTGAGGCATCATGGAAAAAGAGGGAACAATTTGGCACGGCACAGACAGGAAAAAAAAACACAAATTTCAGGGAAGAGAAAAAATCATTTTCATTTTAATGTAAAATGTGCAAGTTGAAGATATGAATCCATGCTTTAAGTTTAATTTCAGAGGTTTAAAAATGCTAATTTTTGTGTTTAAACTCAGCAGAAACAACAGCCAACAGGTGTTCCACCACAATCTGTGGCCTCAGGCTGGACAATAATTCAATATTAATATATATACTGTGATATAATCTTTTGCAATAACTGTAATATAACTTTTAAAAGCATTTCAGGTATTTCAATATACATTAAAGTCTATGATTGTAGTGTTTTCAACACACTGGCAATGTTCTCCACAGACATGGAGCCTGTGTCTGCATCTGCAGGCTGTGCTCCATTGTGGGCTAACCTCCTACAGCGTACATTTTTAGCAGAACAATTAGTGGCCACCATAAGACGAGGAAACATCCCAGTTTTGGACTACCTGTACTTTGCAAAATCTGTCCCAGCAAATGTCTCCAATTTTAGCATTTGATGATATCACATTGACTACGTACTATTTAGCTCATAAGCAGCAGGTAGCCACGCAGGCTTAAAGCAGAAGAGCGGAGCACTGCGGCTTTCAATAAAAGAAGAGAGTTTGGTCATCTCCAGGTCTGGAAGTCATCCTGTGATATTGTAAGATGTGTGAAATGATTCATTATGTTTTAACAGAGTTTACCTCTAAAGGTTATCTAAAGGATAAAGTTTTGATTTGCGCTGAGAAGCATTAACCGTGTTGTCAATGTTTGCTGTGGCAAGGTTTTTTTAATAAAGAAAAACAAGCCAAACTTTCATTGTGAAACAGAAAGATATAGGTCAAGACGAGAACAGAGGGAGCTGTCCCAAGAGTGAGAGAAAGGCTGAGAAATCTTTACAGCAAGATTTGAAAAAGAAAAACTTAGATGTTTTAGAATTGACTGAGGACCTTTAGTTTGCATTTTCAGAGCTAGACATTATGAGTTATTTTGTTACTTTAATGTCTTAATTTGTGAACATAGTCCTCCAATCTTAGGTGTGTTTGTATTCTTGATTATATGAAAGTGAATCACAAAAAAAAAATAAAGGTGACACTGACAGAGAACCTGTGAAAGAGGCAAGAACCTTTGGACTGTTATATAAAGAGGAAGAGAATCCTCAGGTTATACGTACCCATTCAATCTGTTGAGTTTGTAGCTCTAAATAAAAAGAATTAGATGAGTTTTTTTTTTTTCAAATATATCTAAAATGTTGTATTGGAAAAGTTTTATAGTTGAGGGCATTCCTGGTAGTCTTTCCGATGTTTATATGTTTATATGCTAATATAACAGCACCCCCTTGAGTCACAACATATGATGGGATGCTGAAAGTACTTTGACACCGGTATTTGCATGTCCAGCCCACAGTTTTTGTGAGGTGTGGCAATAAGTGGCTTGTGTGAATAAAGCACATGGCTACTTAATTCTTACAGCACTTGGCTGTGGACGTACATGTTTACCATGCCGAACCACAAGGAGATGAAGCAGAAGAAATTGATGATAGCGACTGCATAACTTTGTTTCCAGCTGACCTTAACCCAAGATGAGGATGATGAATAACACTTTGGATTGGATGGGAAGAGCTAGAAAATACCTGAAGGTATTGCCATCCCAGCATCCTTCCAATGTTGAGACGGCAATAGCGAAGAAATTGAGAAGATGCATCATCCTCACTGCAAATACTATGTTATGAGAGGAGAATTCACATGGGAAGAAGTCCAGTAGCTGAAAACTTTCTCCAGAGCTCATGAACAATGTACAGATTGATTTCTTAACAGAGAGCGAGTGGAAGGCCATGAGAATAATCTGACATCTTGAAGCAAACCGGCATACAGTAGAAACTTCAGCCATTATCCACCAAGAAGACACTAACAAAGTAATGCCAGTTGAAACTATTTAATCGGAGGCAAGCCTGCAGATATACTTAACATTTTCCCATTGGATAAGTTTGAAAACGTATGCTAAAAAAATAATCCACCTATCATTCTAACTTCATATCAAGTAATTTATTATCGGCTGATAAAAAGCAAATGTGTTTTTTTTTTTTTTTACTTCAATCATTTTTCTGGAAGGGAAGCTAAGACTGACAAATAATAAGAGCCACATTACAGGGTATTATTTTCAGTTGCTTTATTGTTTCACCACTTCATTATGATGAATAATGGTGACAAGCATAGGAATTCGTTGTTCTAGACTTCATTTTGGGCTTGTTTTTCATTTGAGAACGAATAAATTACTAGTAAGGCCATTTTTCTATATTCATTTTGAGGTCATTGATGTGTGCTTAATCATAATTCATCTTAATACAGCAAGACTTAAACTGGCAATATGGTTTTGACGCTCGCCACACAGCTGGTATACATTTGAAGCACTGCCATTTTAAAATGAGCAGAATTTGCACATTGTAATATAACTTTATTTAAGTTACACTGAGATAAGAAGTGATACGATAGATGTCCCTGATTAATCTGTGAACTGCAAAACTATGTGCATGGAATACATAAAAAATGTGTATAGTAATATCAATTTAGTTAACATTTTCCAATGTAAACCATAAGCAGGCAGAAATGTTTCTTTTGTTTACAGATCAAGTAACTGCAGTGCCAGCATTTTTTGTAGATTAACACCTAATCTCTGATTATTAGTTCATCAAACCCCAAACTGCTGTGTTATTGTATTACCTATTGAATAATTGATTGCTGGGACCAAGAAGCTATTGATTTCTTTGTATTTTAAAATGGCTCATAAAACACTTAATTTTAAACATTCCTTTGCAAGAGCCATTGAAAGAGCAGAAATAAACAGAATGTTAAAAGCTGTTTGATAGAGTGCTGTAAATTTATAGAATAATGGTGCTCAAATTTAATGATTAATACTGCCGC